GAAGCTTGTATTCCTCTCATTCAGAGATGGTTTACAGATCCGTTGATAGTAATGGCGGTCGCTCCCAGTAAACAAAGATCTAGTTTGAGAGTTAGATGAAGGGAAATTTAGGAGGAAGAAAGAAGAGAATCATCATGCAAGAATGGACAGGAATTGTATAGTAAAGGAAGAAATCATTGATAAGAAGAAGAAAAGAGTTGGTGAAAGAACAGAATTCCCAGACGCTGGGTTTGCTGGTAGAGTAGAAGGAGAAATCGATCTCGACAAACAACTGCCAAGTGGATCGATTCTCATGGTAGCTAGAGATGGAGAGAACAAAGTCGGGAGAGAAACTAAAGAGGGGAAGTTAGATAAGAGGAAGACTGAAAGCGATACCCCGTCAAATGTTGGAGATGAGGCCAAAGTTTCTGGCATCCTAAGAGAGATGACTAAAGATGGGTGCAATAGAGATCTGTGGCTCATGCAGCCATACTGCGGGATCCGACAAAAGAGAAAGGCGCTCAAGGTGATGGAGAAATGGGTTCAAGATAGAGTTTCAGTAGATCTTAGAGGATGAAGCCCTGGCCCCTGTGCTTGCTCGCCTCTTTCGCCTTTGCCTCAAACCAAAACTTTTCCTCTTCTTGGAAGCTTGCCTCGGTTCAGCCCATCCTCAAGAAGTGTACCATCTCTAATCCTCTAACTATCATCATTGCCTTCAACTCATCCCCCTAAGATTTTTCGAAACTATCTTGAACTCCCATTTTCTCCGTCACCTTGAACGCCTTTTCTTTTGATCACCAGTATGGTTTTCGCCAGCAAGATCTACTGGTGATCTGCTCTCCTATTGCACCCATCTTTGGTCATCCTCTCAGGGATTATGGAAACTTGTCGGGCTCTATACATCTCCAAAGCATTTGACAGGGTACAGCATGTCTACACTCAAACCTCTCTTTGGTTTTCCCCGACTTTGTTCTCTCATCTCTAGCTTCCTTGAGAATCGATCCATGGCATTTGCCCAGGATCTATCCTTTTTACTCAATAATAGTAAGTGTCCACAGGGTTCTTCCTCACCAACTTATCAATGATTTATCAATACTACAACAAATTCCTATCCATTCTTACGCCGATGATTCTACTCTTTCACTCTTCCTCACATTTCCCTCCTCCTAACTCTCAAACTAGATCTGTTTGAACCTGATAACACCTATCAACGCGATCTGAAGCATCTCTGAATGGGAGATACAACATTTAATACCAATTACACTTGTAAAGTAGACGATCTCCACCAATTACATTTCGGGACGCTATCATCCCCCAAATTTAAATATATTAGGCTCACCATTTCCTCCAATATGTCCTGGAAATCACACATTAGTATAACTAAAGCTTCCTAAAAGTTGGGAATGCCAAGATGTCAGCTTATTCTACTCCTGGAAGTTGCTCCCAAGATAAGGGACTCATTCGTCCTAACTTGGAGTACTGCTCATATCTGCGGCTTCTTCAACCAACTATTAGATAGTGGAATCAAACGCATCACGTCAATCATAGCCCATTGAATCTTCGCCGCAATGTTGCTTTTCACTCTTTTACAGGTACTTTAATGGGCAATGTTCAGGGATTTGGCATCCTGTGTACTCCCGTAGGCGCGGGGTTCAGTAACACACGCCTTGTTCCGGTGCCCACCATTTTCTGGATATCAGTCATAACTAGAATAACCCTCCTCTCACACAACAAACTGTGGAATGCTTTACCTTCTTCTGTGTTTCCATGCTCTTACAATCTATCCCACTTTTGGTCAAGATCTGCGTGCAGATTGAATATATAACCTTTTTCATATTTTCAATTTTTTCGTTTTTTTTGTTTTCAGGCTCGCTATCGCTGACCTGTGCCCGGGTTGGCTAATTCCCGTAAAAAAAAAAAAAATACGCGTGAAGTATAATTATTATTTTTTATTTAGCTCATATAATTCATACAAATTACCCGGCCAGAATATAAGTTACATTGCTGGAATTCTCACAATTTGATGATCATTTTGAATATAAACATCATAGATTTTGCATTAGACATACAAATTTTAGATATAATGTTTACTCTGAGTAAATATGTTATCTTTTGTGCAAAATATATGACATTTATATTCAAAATATTCCTGGTCTTACAAGGAATCCAGCAATGTCAATTATATTATCCTAACTTTAGTTTGAGGTATTATTTATTAAAATCTAGTGGTTTTCCCCAAAAAATTTCTCAGAGAGGGAAGAGCCAGCAGTGTAGTGTGAGAAGAGGGGGAGGGAGTCGAGTCCATTATTTGAATGGACATTAACTTGGCGACTGTATTTCTCTATTTCTCTTAAGTATTAATTGTGTGCATGTACCATCATAAAATTAAGATGTTATATTTACTAGAACATAGGTATTGTGTCGGAAAAAGTAGAGTTTGGGGGTCGGGCCAGTCTCTATTGGAATTAATCCCATATGTTCTGTTGTTCCATTTATGAGGATTTCACTTGACGCAGTACCCTGTGGGTTCAATTGACCGTGTAAATCGGGGTACTACTGTATATATATATATATATATATATATATATATATATTATTTTTGGGGGGGGGGGAACAAATGCATTGTTATATTGTACCATAATTCCAAATGTTCTCAATCATCACATGCCATATTTAGTTCAATGAAGTAATGTGCACTAAATACAACATGATTGTTATCGTCATGCACAATTGTGCGCGCTGGCTACATGTTAAGTGAAGAAACTGTTTACAACTCAGAATAGCTTACTAAGCGAGATGGAGCTGGTAGCAGCTGTGTGACTGCCTGAGGGACAGTCTATCGCCTTCTACTGTAAAGGCAACATCTTGATTCTCGTCAGCCAACATCTTCCTGCAGTACATTATATTTGTTCTCGTTGGTCTAACCCTAGACCCCAAAACGTGAGTGTGATCGTGAACTATTGAATCCTCTGAGAACTCTAAATAACTTTAATAAGTGTAATTATGTACTGTATATTGATCGTATTATTCAAACTGTGTCCTGATGAACCAGCAGTTGTTAAATGCGAATTGTATTCAACAGGTTTTGACCGAATTATACTCAATGCATCAACGACAAGGGTCTTATTGTCCTGCACAAACCAAAATCGCTCCTAGGGGCGATAACAATGATGTACCTTACTATTTAAAATGTCTTGTGATAACCTCTTCATAATGAATGATGATAAGTTTGGTAAATTTTATAATAACCACCTTGAAGATATCAATATGCTCACAAACACTATCGAGGACCCCCTTCTACATCAAAGAAAATGTAATAATTGTGACATAAACATATGCTACACAATTAGCTGTTATGGTGTCCACATGTCACTTACCCTGGCATTTTGGTTGCATGCTACGTGCAGCTAGAGAGACACCTGCCAACATGCCTCCTCCACTTGTGGGTATGAGAATTGCATCAAGATCTGGAACCTGAAAATGTGCGAAGCAATCAAAATCATGGAGTGCGTGTGTGTGTGTGAGTGTGTGTGAAGGACAACACTTAATATCAACAACAACAGGAAGGAGTACCAATTGATGCTCTTTCAGGGTTCTCTGTACAATATTCATTTCATAATCAATAAACTTCTGCTGGCATATACTTGAGTAACTCACGAAAGGTGTTAGGTCAATTATTCACTGGCAAAGAACAAACATCTCACTTCCTCCTGAGAAACATTATCTTTAAATTAAATCATTGAAAGTACAATAGAGTAAGTACCTCATCCAAAAGTTCCATGGCAATTGTTCCCTGACCAGCTATGACGTTATAGTTGTCTGATGAATGAATTATTGTTTTCCCAGTCTCCTCTGCCACTCTGGCACAAGTGTCCTTCCTGAATTAAAGAAAATCTTTTAGAAATATTTGTCACATATCCAATTTTAAAACATGTAGAAACTGTTTATTTAGAAGATTGACTAACACTTAATTAATCTATATTTTTTATATCAAAGGTAGCTACTTGTAATCCTGCTAGTTAAAATATGTCCACTCACAAATCCTTAACTCAACCTCACTCTCAATCTATTTTTCCTTCTCTTCAGCCTCTCTATAAACACACATTTCACCATCCTTTCTATGTGATCATCCTATATCCTTGTTCATCCATTACTACCCCTACTTCATATCACCCACCAGTACCTTCATTTGTCATTTCATTGGGTCTCTATTCTACTTACTTTCAATTTTTCACCTGTCACACTCCACACCCACTATTCAAATACTGTACAGTATAATACCTACATTCTTCAAGTCACTCGGCCATAACATATTTTTGTTTTACTTTAAACGTCACTTTTAATTGTGTGTCTAAAACTACTCTTGAATGAAACCAAAGACAGAGTAAATTCTATCATCAAACCACCCAAGGGGCTGAGGCCAGGTGCTTTGAACAGTGAGGTACAGTAGTCTGAAAACTTGTGCAGCAACTCTTGAATCAACAACATATCCCTCTAAAACATCAGGTTCATGAAATAAGATTTAAGTACTGTAGTGGAATAAAAATTACCAATATGTTACTGAATTATTAAACACAAAATTACAGTAAATGGGAATAACTCAGGAAAATCAAAATGTAATTTATATTCATTCATTGGTGGCAACTCAGTACAATCAGTATGCACAATAGTATTCTGAACTAATGTAAATTTCCCATTACTTGAATACAGTACTGGACATTATTGTATCAAGAATACGAATCTTTATTCACACATACTTTTAACACATGCTTTTTAATGAATTCACCAGCAATCAGATTCAGTGTTTACCTTTAAGAAAAGTTTTCTATGATTTCTACATATCACCAGTCACATTCATTACTCACAAATAAAACAGACTTTCATAAAAGAAAAAATCTTTGCATTCATATCCACTGTCACTGTCTTAAAACTTAACAGTGTGACCTGAACCATCCCCTCTCCTGGGATAGTCCCACTGTACCTCATGTCATGATTCTGCTCACCACCAATGTTGCATCAGTGACCTTAACTGACCTGTCACTAACAGTGTAACAGTGTGTAGTATGGGTCCTGCACAATGCACCTTAACATTTCTGATGAGCACAGGCATCACAGAAATGCTGAGATAACCAGTTTGAACAGTGCTGTAAATGGCCTTGGAACCAAAAACAATGGTCAAAATCCACATTGTACAAGTTGCCATTACACACGACTGGTCCCACAACATAAATCAATGTAAATTTGGAAGGACTGAATCTGAGTGGTCGTATTATGGAGGCGGTCTGTGTACACTGGCGGTCGGATTGTCAGGTTTCACTGTACAGAAGAAAATAGCCACGTTACAGCACTATACTGTAGCTTAATTCAAGGCAAAACCAAATTTGGTTCAACATAATATTCCTATACATTAATCTATATACTCAGTGCTACTAATTTCAAATACAGTAATGTACAAATATTTCAAAACTTGACTATTGAAGTGTTTACGGTAAGTATTTTCTACACACAGTACACAACAAAATGATATTCAGTACAAACATTTAAATTAAATTTCTTTACTCCTGTAAATGAAATAAATACCTGGAGGCAGGTGTGGGGTCACATAACACAAGTTCAGCCCCATAACTAAGGATGGCATCACATTTGACCTTGGGGGCACCTTTGGGAACAACCACAGTGCACGGCAGACCGACACACTCTGTAAGTGATGTACATTTTCAACACCAGAAAATAGGAACAGCTTCCTTCACTATCATAAGACAATATCTATGTCACCCAGAGTAAAACACAATAAAAGTTTTGGGTAAAAATGGAGACACTTTGAAACCTAATACAGTACTGTATACTACTGAAGTAAAAACCAAAATATATCATGTACAGGAGGTCCCTGAACTGCAAACATCCAACTTCCGAACACTCACCGATACGAACGAGATTAAACTTTAAATTTACAGTATTTTATTTACCTGTTAACTTATTTTTTACTTTCCTTTACTGTATTTAGTTATTATCTTTCTTCTTTTCTCTTAAATTAAGTGATAATAGATGTATATAAGGACTTAGGCTATTATATAATAAAATTTTAAACATTGTTCTGTAAGTATGGTACGCACATAGGGTATGTGTTCCGACTTACGTACATTTCCGACTCAAGAATGTCGTCAGGAACGGAACCCGTTCGTAACCCAGGGACCCTCTGTAAATAGTATTAATAATAACTTTATTTTCCTTTTCTTTTTTTCTTGAGAATAGTTTTAAGGTAAGATCTTTCATATAATATAGAGTGCATGTTTTTGGGGGAGTGGTATTCTTAAGATGTGAAGGAATGACTAAGTCTGAGGCCTTACTGTTGACACACTGACAAACATTCCACACAAAGCATACCATAGCTGCTGCCCCTCCAATCTCCCGCAGCTGCTGCCCCTCCAACCTCCCACAGCTGCTGCCCCTCCAACCTCCTGCAGCTGCTGCCCCTCCAACCTCCCGCAGCTGCTACCCCTCCAACCTCCCACAGCTGCTGCCCCTCCAACCTCCTGCAGCTGTTGCCCCTCAACCTCCAGCTGCTGCCCCTCCAACCTTCCCAACTGCTGCCCCTCCAGCCTCTGCTGCCCCTCCAACATCCCCCAGCTGCTGCCCTCCAACCTCCCCCAGCTGCTGTCCTCAACCTTCCCAACTGCTGCCCTCCAACCTCCCCAGCTGCTGCCCTCCAACCTCCCCAGCTGCTGCCCTCAACCTCCACCAACTGCTGCCCTCCAACCTGCCCCAGCTGCTGCCTCCCAGCCTCCCCCCAGCTGCCTCCAACCTCCACCAACCTGCCCTCCAACCTCCCCAGCTGCCTTCAACCTCACCTGCTGCCTCAGCCTCCACCAGCTACTGCCCCTCCAGCCTCACCCATCTGCCAACCCCTCCAACCTCACTCAGCTACTGCCCTCCAACCTCGACCAGCTTGCCCCTCAGCCTCCCCAGCTGCTGCCCTCCAACCTCCCCCAACTGCTGCCTCCAACCTCCCCCAGCTGCTGCCCTCCGACCTCCCCCCAGCCTGCCCTCAGCTCCTCCCCAGCCTGCCCTCCAACCTCCCCAGCTGCCCTCCCAGCCTCCCCAGCTGTGCCCTCCAACCTACACCAACTGCCCTCAGCCTCCCCAACTGCCTCCAACCTCCCCAGCTGCTGCCCTCAGCCTCCACCAACTGCTGCCCCTCAACCTCACCCAGCTGCTGCCCTCCAACCTCACCCAGCTGCTGCCCTCCAGCCTACCCCAGCTGCTGCCTCCAACCTCCACCAACTGCTGCCTCAACCTCACCCATGCTGCTGCCTCCCAGCCTCACCCAGCTGCTGCCTCCCAGCCTCACCCAGCTGCCCCATCAACCTCACCCAGCTGCTGCCTCCAGCCTCCACCAGCACTGCCTCCAGCCTCCCCAGCTGCTGCCCTCCAGCCTCCCTGCTGCCCTCCACCTCCCCCACCGCCTCCCAGCCTCACGGCTGCCCAGCATCAGCCTCCCCAACTGCCTCCAGCCTCCCCAGCTGCTGCCTCCAGCCTTCACCAGCTGCCCCTCAGCCTCACCCAGCTGCTGCCCTCAACCTCCCAGCTGCCCTCTCAGCCTCCCCAACCAACCTCAGCCTCATGCTGCCCTCAACCTCCCCAGCTGCTGTCCCTCCCATCCCAGCTGCTGTCCCCCAACCTCACGGTGCCTCCAACCTCCCAGCTGCTGCCCCTCAGCCTCACTAGCTGCTGCCTCCCAGCCTCACCCAGCTGCTGCCCTCCAGCCTCCCCAACTGCTGCCTCAGCCTCCCCCAGCTGCTGCCCCTCCAGCCTCCCCAACTGCTGCCTCCAGCCTCTGACTGATGTCCCTCAGCCTGCCCCAACTGCCTCAGCCTCCCCAACTGCTGCCCCTCCAACCTCCCCAACTGCTGTCCTCAGCCTCCCCAACTGCTGCCCTCCAGCCTCCCCAACTGCTGTCCTCAGCCACCCCAACCCAACCTCAGCCTCCCCCAGCTGCTGCCCTCCAACCTCCCAGCTGCTGCCCTCCAACCTCCCCCAGCTGCTGCCACTCAACCTCCCCCAGCTGCTGCCCTCAGCCTCCCCAGCTGCTGCCCTCCAGCCTCCCCAGCTGCTGCCCTCCAGCCTCACCCAGCTGCTGCCCCTCAACCTCCACCAACTGCTGCCCCTCCAGCCTCCAGCTGCTGCCCTCCAACCTCCCCAGCTGCTGCCTCCAACCTCACCCAGCTGCTGCCCCTCAACCTCCCCAACTGCTGCCTCCCAGCCTCCCCAGCTGCTGCCCCTCAACAACCACCAACTGCTGCCCTCCAGCCTCACCCAGCTGCTGCCCTCCAACAACCACCAGCTGCCCCTCCAACCTCACCCAGCTGCTGCCCCTCAACCTCCCAACTGCTGCCCCTCAACCTCCCCAGCTGCTGCCCTCCAGCCTCCCCCAGCTGCTGCCCCTCCAGCCTCCAGCTGCTGCCCCTCAGCCTCCCCAGCTGCTGCCTCAACCTCCCCCAACTGCTGCCTCCAACCTCCCCCAACTGCTGTCCTCCAACCTCCCCCAGCTGCTGTCCTCAACCTCACCCAGCTGCTGCCCTCCAACCTCATCCAGCTGCTGCCCTCCAACCTCCCAACTGCTGCCCTCCAACCTCCCCCAACTGCTGTCCCTCAACCTCCCCCAGCTGCTGCCCTCCAACCTCTTGCTGCACCCAACCCCCCCGCTGCTGCCCTCAACCTCACCCAGCTGCTGCCCTCCAACCTCACCCAGCTGCTGCCCTCAACCTCCCCAGCTGCTGCCTAACCTCACCCAGCTGCTGCCTCCAACCCTCACCCAGCTGCTGCCCCTCCAGCCTCCACCCAGCTGCCCTCAACCTCACCCAACTGCTGCCCCACCTCCCCAACACACCTCCAGCTTCTGCCCTCAGCCTCCCCAGCTGCTGCCCTCCAACCTCCCCAGCTGCTGTCCTTCACAACCACCAGCTGCCTCCAGCCTCCGCTCCACCAACCCCAGCTGCTGCCCCTCAACCTCCCCCAGCTGCTGCCCCTCACAACCACCAACTGCTGCCCCTCAACCTCACCCCAGCTGCTGCCCCTCCAGCCTCACCCAGCTGCTGCCCTCCAGCCTACCCCAACTGCTGCCTCCCAACCTCCCCAACTGCTGCCCCTCAGCCTCCCCCAGCTGCCCCTCCAACCTCCACCCAGCTGCCTCAGCCTCACCCAGCTGCTGCCCTCCAGCCTCACCCCAGCCTGCTGCCTCCAACCTCCCCCAGCTGCTGCCCTCCAGCCTCCCCCAGCTGCTGCCCCTCAACCTCCCCTAGCTGCTGCCTCCCAACCTCCCCCAGCTGCTGCCCCCAGCCTCCCCAGCTTACCCTCCAGCCTCCCAGCTGCTGCCCCTCCAGCCTCCCCAGCTGCCCCTCCAGCCTCACCAACTGCTGCCCTCCAGCCTCACCCAGCTGCTGCCCTCCAGCCTCCCCAGCTGCTGCCCCACAGCCTCCCCAGCTGCTGCCCTCCAACCTCACCCAGCTGCTGCCCTCAACCTCCCCAGCTGCTGCCCTCCAGCCTCCCCCAGCTGCTGCCCTCCAACCTCCAGCTGCTCCCTCCACCTCCGCCACCCCCCACTGCTGCCCTCAACCTCCCCCAGCGCTCCCCACCTCCCCAGCTCCCCAACCTCTCGGCTGCTGCCCTCAACCTCCCCCCAGCTGCTGCCCTCAGCCTCACCCAGCTGCTGCCCTCCAACCTCACCCAGCTGCTGCCCTCAACCTCCCCAGCTGCTGCCTCCAACCTCCACCAACTGCTGCCCTCCAACCTCCACCCAGTGCTGCCTCCAACCTCCCCCAACTGCTGCCCTCCAACCTCACCCAGCTGCTGCCCCTCCAACCTCCTTAGCTGCTGCCCTCCAACCTCACCCAGCTGCTGCCCTCCAGCCTCACCAGCTGCTGCCCCCAGCCTCCCCAGCTGCTGCCCCTCAACCTCCCCAACTGCTGCCCTCCAACCTCTAGCTGCTGCCCTCAACCTCCCCACTGCTGCCCTCAGCCTCCCCCAACTGCTGTCCTCCCAACCTCCCCAACTGCTGCCCCTCCAGCCTCCCCCAACTGCTGCCCTCAACCTCCCCAGCTGCTGTCCCTCAGCCTCCCCCAACTGCTGCCCCTCACCTCCCCAGCTGCTGTCCCTCCAACCACCCCAACTGCTGCCCCTCCAACCTCCCCAGCTGCTGCCTCCAACCTCCCCCCCTGCTGCCCTCCCAACCTCCCAACTGCTGTCCCTCCAACCTCCCAACTGCTGCCCCTCCAACCTCCCCAGCTGCTGCCCTCCAACCTCCCCAGCTGCTGCCCTCCAACCTCACCCAGCTGCTGCCCCTCCACCTCCACAACTGCTGCCCTCCAACCTCACCCAGCTGCTGCCCTACAACCCCAGCTGCTGCCCTCCAACCTCACCCAGCTGCTGCCCTCCAACCTCCCACCAACTGCTGCCCCTCCAACCCTCCCCCAGCTGCTGCCCTCCAACAACCACCCAACTGCTGCCCTCCAACTCACCCAGCTGCTGCCCTCCAACAACCACCAACCTGCCCCAACCTCACCCAGCTGCTGCCCTCCAACCTCCCCAACTGCTGCCCTCCAACCTCCCCCAGCTGCTGCCCCCAACCTCCCAACTGCTGCCCTCCAAACTGCCCCCAACTGCTGCCCTCCAACCTCCCCCAGCTGCTGCCTCCAACTCCCCAACTGCTGCCCCTCCAACCTCCCCCAACTGCTGCCCTCCAACCTCCCCCAACTGCTGTCCCCTCCAACCTCACCCAGCTGCCCTCCAACCTCATCCAGCTGCTGCCCTCCAACTCCCAACTGCTGCCCCTCCAACCTCCCCCAACTGCTGTCCCTCTCCAACTCCCCCAACTGCTGCCCCTCCAACCTCACCCAGCTGCTGCCCTCCACCTCCCTTAGCTGCCTCCAACCTCACCCAGCTGCTGCCCTCCAACCTCACCCAGCTGCTGCCCAACCTCCCAGCTGCTGCCCTCCAACCTCACCCAGCTGCTGCCCTCCAACCTCACCCAGCTGCTGCCCTCCAACTCCACACCCAGCTGCTGCCCTCCAACCTCACCCAGCTGC